TCCTCAGTATCCCTGCATAACACCATTTGTTAGGCAGTTTAGGGAACAAGGGACGGCAAGCTTATGAAGCTGAGCTGTGAATGAGAGCACCAAAAATTGCATCAGCCCAAGGAACTGCACAGCTCAACACGCTGTCAGTCTCCAGAAGAAATAGGTAAAAAGCAAGAGAGAAATATGTGCACAAGCCTTTAGCAGTAAGGAGCCTGGCCTCGGGCTTTCCTGGCGCTGCTGGCAGCCCATTTGCCTGCACCTGGTTTGGATGTTYCACTGTGCAGCAATCCCTTGGACTAACAGGCATTGCCCGTGCACAGCAGCAGCAAAAATGGACCCACGGCTACCAATTCATCAAACTTTAAAKAAAAAATAAGAATGAAAGAAGAATGTGGCCCTGAACATCATAACATCATTCCCATGTTGTTGTTCTTGATACAGAACAGAGGAGAGGGACAGCAAATGTAACCAAGGGGAAGGGGCAAACCCAGCCAACACAGCTGAGCTCCCRTTGCTCTAAGTTCAAAAGTGCTCCCCTTGTTCTAAGTTCTTCTGGCAAGCTGAAAGACAACCATTTATTTTTAAGAAAAATATTAAGAAAATCAATGGCACCACACTAAGAGTTCATGAGAATCACGATCAATTTGAAAACCCTTCCCTCGAGGGCCAGTAATACTGTCTCGAGGCAGAAAGTCACATCTGCACAACGCAGAATTGTCTTTGTGCCTTGGAAAACTTGGTTCTGACTGGGAACTWGCAGCTTCCCTTAATAGAAGGCAGATGATGACCGACAGACATGGTTTTCCCATTTTTATATCCCCAGGAACGGTATAGCACATTTAAAAATACCTCTGATTGCATGAGGACTAACAGCAAACCATAATAGACAGCGAGATTTGTAAATCCTGATGACTTATCAGGGAGCATTTTAATAAATTTTCCCTGCAATTGCAGCCTGCTGCTTCGGGGCACCATCTCTTCAATGTCCTTTAGGAACAGAACTTTTGTTATTCTAAATTGCCCTAATTAGCTCTCTTTAGAGCCCTGTGGCTATAACATCAGATTTCCAGCACAGACACAACCCACTCCCGGCAGCAAGACGGTTACCAAATGTACCTTTCAAATTAGTTAGCAAAAGCTACAAGAGCCAGACCGTCCTCCGCATAATAAGAAATCGTACTTTGTATCCTGATTTCCTGCCAGATTCATGGAAAAACTAGGCAGAAAGCTGATCCTACACATTCYCTCATGGAAGATATTTCTTTGAAAAAGCTTGCATGAAAATTCTGTGCATACAGAGCCACTATCTTCATAGTGCTCAAAATAAAGGGCTCTCACCCACACCCTTACATTTCTCCAGATGGGATTTAGCATTTCTGGATCCAGGTAACTATCTACAGACTTTACTGCCCTCAGTCTACAGGGGATCAAGGGTGCAGGTGACCCTCAGTCTCAGTAATCCTTTTAGAGGAAATCATTTTTATTTTTCTTTACACAAGCATCTGCCCWTCCGCTTTACAACAGACACCTTCCTACAGACTGCAGCATATTAAGGGCAAATGGCCTTATGTGCAATTTTTTCTAAAGGGTGCAAATGTGAATAATAATTTTGTCTTCACTGCTGAATAGTTCAGTAACGTTCCTGCAGCTAAAATAACATTTTTAAATTTGATWTGGTTACTTCCTGATAACTGGCTTGAAAGGTCACAGTTACAAAGATATTCTGGTATTTTTCGTTCACCATAGTTCAATATTAGGTTTTGATTAGAATGACATATAACATATCCCATTAGAAAAGATAAGGTACCCTTTTGCTTCCAGCCTCAAAATATTAATAATACTGTTGCAGTTAATATTTGAAATACAAATCTAATATCATTCATTTTGCTGGTTGAAAATCAATGAATTATGCTGTAGCATCAGGAGACAGAACTACTGCCTCCATCAGAGAAATAAAAATATCTTAAATTTTAATTAAACTTTTCAAGCACAAATCTTGCATACATGTCATTTTTGTTCATCTCAGAGGAGTACAAGCTTCTTTACTAYAAGTGCAATATTAATAATAAAAAAGAGACTTATTTTCCATCTGACATTTGGAATTTTCAGAATAGCACAGAAATTCCCCTGGGCTCTCTAAGCAACTATCTTGTAAGGCACAGAAAGATTGYGACTCTTAATTTGTAGCTACAGAAACGTGGAAACAAGGCCAAATAATTGCACAAGGCCGCAGCGGGAAGCACTGGAGAAACAGAGAGTTGAATCCAGAGCTCCCGATTCTCTATCMTACTAATGAGTGGTTAGTTTCATTCGCAGCCATTTGGGGATTTCGGGTGAGCGTTTATGTTAAGAGCAAACGAGTGTGTGATAGTGAGGGGCCTATTCAAGAAGACGTTTCTTCCTGTTACCTCTGACCTAAGCGGGTCAGGCAACAGGCACTGACCACTCAGTAGCTGAGTATTAAAAAAACAAAATGAATAAAGAAAAATCAAGCCACAAGATGGCACTGCATGCAAAGCAAAACAGGCTGCAAAAGTCAGGATGGGAGTTCGAAAGCCCTTCTTGGGTAGGTACAGTTTTATATTTTAAGGGCAAATGTAAGGCACCTGCGGGTGGATTTGCCTCACTTTGCACTGTGCGGTGCCCAGAGAAACAGGCTCTTGGTTCCCAGGCCGCCAAGGAAGGACGTGGCCACGCACAGAGCAAACAAGCCCRTATGGTCACACATAACCCTTCCTGTGGTGCTGCATCTGCTTCTCTGTCCCGGGCCACCAGCACCTGTGCCAGCTGTAGGTTTTTCTTGACAGCCTTTGAGGCTGATAAAATCGCACAGGGGAGTGTAACTCTGCTTGCAGAAAGCGGCCGAGCTCCCGTTGGGGGCAAAGAGGTCCCAACACCAACGGGAAGGCCTTACACAAATTCCCAGTCCCAGCTCTTCCACGCAGCCATTCCACTCACCCTGGCACTGTTACCCAMCACTGAACAAAACAACTTGTAGAGGTGGGTGCAGCAGGGAGTGAACAAACCTCCATGCAAAGGTGCCTGTATTTTGTACCAAATAACCTTCTCCCCAGGAAACATCGCAGGTGAAGAGCTGCTTTCCTTCTCCATCTCACTTCTTCATGGCTTCTGCTCATATCTTCCTCTAGGACCCTCATTTTTCTCCCTGTTTTCTCTGATTCCACTACRATATTATCTGCATTTTTATAGACTCTAAACATCTTTTTTTTGTTATTGTTGCTGTTGTTCATGGAACATGGAATTTATGGCCTACCTCTCTGACAGGAAGCAGCAGATGGATAATGAGAGCAGTATAGCAAGACTAACATGTGCCACTTACTCTTTTTCTTTGCTTTGTGCTTCACAGAGCTGTTTGTTTTACAAGTATCAGTGCTGTGCCACCAAGCAGTGATCACTAACATTRAATAAATAAAAATAGGAATAAATGCAAAACCACCTGCTCATTCTGATCTTAGAACTACCGTCCCTTAACTCAGCAGTGTATGCTGGTATTGTTCGGCCTCCTCCAGATCTTCTCAGAAGGCAAAAGAAGAAATCCACATCCATGTAAATCCACATCCAAGTGCAATTCCTTGGAATGTAACACTTGTCAGGCAAGCAGGCCCCGGGCCCCTCACACTTATCCTGCAGGAAGATGCCCAGCACAAACTCTACCAAGTAACAGCCTTGCTGAAAACTGTATGTACACAGGCCAAAGCTTGACTTAAATGAGTAAGGCCCTAGCTTCTGCAGGGTCCTCATGGGGGAAGCGAAGTATTTCTTCTATAACTTACTTTTTTATTTAATAATATTTTAATTGTACACTTAAAAAATAACACGGTCTACTGAACTTGCACTGTGGAATTTGCATCTCTGCATCTTTGTTACAAATGCATGCAGAAATGGAGTAATAGCTGCATTTAGGCATCTCTGAATTATCAGGGAATCACATGGGGACCATAGGGCACAGTCCTGTATCCCGAGTGAACCTGCCTCTCCTTTTCAAATGCTTACAACAAAATAACTGGTGACACCGAGTTCGTAACACATCCCTGAAGAGGATTCACGCGGCCTGCACTGAAAGGCCCCATCTGGAAACACTTTTATCCATTTCTTTATGTGAAGGCCTTTCCCTTTTGTGATTACGAATCTCCAGGGTGCACATATACTGCAGGAACTGCTGCTGTGGCCACGCAGCCCTCCACGATGGACACCGCTGTGCACAGGCTTACTCATCAACCGCACACCGCACTGCCTAAAAGCTAGGATGCTTCCCACAGCATCCCAAAGAGGAATTAATGGCAGCAGRTTCACCCAGAAGCTTTAAAAAACAAGTAGGAAATTTTCCAGTCATGACTGATAAACACACAGCYGCTTGGACAAAGCACCACCAAGCACCAAATTGCCTGTGCTTAATCCAAACAGCACCTAAATATAAATATTCACGTTAAAAGCCACTATATCCCACATTGCCACCTCGCACGTTACATTTATTCCCCAAAGACGGTAACGGTCCCCGACTGGCATCGACATCCCCCACATGGCACAAAATGGCGGCCGGGAACGCCCCGCCCCCATCAGCCCCTTCCGYCCCAGGAGAGGAGACACTTCCTCTCACTCTAACCTGCTGCAGCGGCCCGGAAGAGCTGCAAGTCCCACCCCCCGCCTGCGCTCCCTCTCCGATGATTGGCCACTCGCCGCGCCGCTCGCCGCGCGGCCGCTCGCCCATTGGCGGGCGCGGCGCGCAGG